ATCCGCGAGGTCGAGAGCTACTCCATGCCGTCGCCACCCCAACTCGCGAGCTCGCCGGAGGATCCGCGAGGTCGAGAGCTCCTCCGCCACCATGCCGCGAGGTAGCCTTCTTTTCCACGAGTTCGAGAGCTCCTTGCCACCATGCCTCGAGCTCGCGATTTCCACGGCGTGGTCGAGAGTGTCTTCATTTTATGTGCGTTTTTTAGTGTGTTTGTGTGGAGTATAAATACAATTTGTCCTTTGCATTTTAGAGACATCTAGCTCATTATGAAATGTTTCCTCTTTTGGTTCTTAGCTTAAGTCTTTTATTTGCTCTCTAGAGTAAGGTGGATGTTATTTACATTTTCCGGCGACTTTTTCCGGTGACTTCTCGTTTATGCAAGTTTTAATCTTTTTCTTCCGACTTTGATCAAGCATGCGTTAGGGATGTGAGTACTTACTTTTAAGCCTTGTGATCTCGATTTTCGTACTTACTTGCTATCTCGTGCGTAGAAGTAACTAGGGCTTGCTCGGTTATCGGATTTTTTAGTAGCTATTTTAGTTATTTTCATTTCCCTTGCTTTTGTGAGCTCGTTTATGATGTTTGGAGTTGATTGATTGATTGATTGCTATTAGAAAAATCGGGACTTTATATTTAGCTCGGTTATTTCGTAGTAGGATTTCGATTTTAGCTATCAAGCATGTTAAATGGAGTTCGTTTCTCTTATTTTCGCTTTTGTTGCCCTTGGTTTTGTTCACCGGTTTAGTTGCTAGAGTTTGTAGTACGTTCACTTGCTCGTTGCTCGTTTACTTGCTTTTAATAGTCGTAATTAGTGTTAATCAACTTCAACCCAAATTGATTAGTATGTTTAGGACTTTATTTTAGTTTTTTGTGATTTGAGCGATTGAATAGTGAGTAAAGCTCCGAATAACCTTCCCTCGAGATCGACCCGAGTCGGGTAGCTCGGTTACCCCTTGCCCATCAAATCTATACTAAACACGTTTGCAAGGATAGGATCCACTCTCTCCAGGACGACCTCAAGAAGTCCGAACTGCTGCAGATAAAGATTGTCGAACTTGAAGGTGAGCTGAAGGTGGTTCGATTGGAGGAAGTGAGACTGATTGAGCAGGCAGACTGTGCCAAAAAGCAGCTGGCCGAGGCTGAAAAAGAGCTTGCCGCGGCGAAATTGAATGCTGAGGAGGCCGTCCGGGGACTTGCTGCGGCCGAACGGGAAAGGGACACGGCGCTGGCCGAACTGGAGCGACTCCAGTCCGAGTTGGAGGGAGCGGGACAATCCCGCGGCTCGTATGAAGACGACTTCGAGAGGGGCCGTTCGGCTGGGTTGCAAGAGTATAACAAGACGGACAAATTCCTGGCCGACATGGACTTGAATGCAACGCTCGGACTGAACTGGGTAATCCATGCGATGAAGGATGGAGGGAAGACTCTGAAGGACCTCGAGGCTATTCGTGATATCAAATTCGAGCGGCTGGCTCTGCCCGAGGAGATAAAGATTTCGGCCGTGATCGCGGATGACGATGAGAAAACCTATGACAGCCGCCTGATGGACTCCACCTTTTCCAAATCCGCCGCGGATACGACCGGGGCCGGTCTGAGCCACCCTCCCGACTGTCAAGGCGAAGGAACGGGCGAGAATGATGAGGACGCTGGGAACGGACAGCCACCCCCCGTTTGACCTTCAACCGCTTTCTAGTTGCTATTTCTATTTTTCCTTTAAGTATGTTTGCGTATGTTGTTTGCTGTTTTGAACGACTTATTTTAATTCGTATTTCCGAATGTTGGTGTGTTCCGAGCCCGGGGATGGTTTACTCCTTGTAGGGTTCGGGTATTCGTGTGATTTCTCTATGTATGGAAAATGAACTAAGTGTGCTATTTTATGTTTCTGTTGTTTCATATCTTCATGCCGCTTCGATCTTTATCGGACAACCTTAAGTGATCCGGTTGTTACTCTACTCGGGGTTATTTTATTTTTGATCGGACGACCTTAAGTGGTCCGATACCGAGCAACCTTAAGTGGTCCGGTTGTTACCCTACTTGGAGTCATTTTATTTTTGATCGGACGACCTTAAGTGGTCCGATACCGGGCAACCTTAAGTGGTCCGGTTGTTACCCTACTTGGGGTCATTTTATTTTTAATCGGACGACCTTAAGTGGTCCGATAC